TGAAACATTGCCAGACATTCCAATCCTCCACAAAAAAAAAAAAAGTTTTTGTCTGTGTCTCTATTGGAGAAATGTCACATACTGTAACTTCCTGTCCTGAAAGGAAGTGAGTAGAAATCTACCAAAAGCGACCAAAAGCTTTATTTTAAACAAGAAACTTATGGATGGAGTTGAGTTTGAATGCTGTTCATGAGCAGGTATAGATTTGTAGCGCATGAGCATATTTTTTGGTAAGACATCTTTCCAGGTATAGAAAAAGAATGTTCAAATTTGTAGAGATTGACAGTACAATTGGTCTAATATGTTCATACAAAATATAAATGTGTAATATTGAAGCACAATTACTGACAATATATTTGAGAACACATCTATTGGATATTTCATGTAAATGGCAGATGAAATGTAGTTCAAACAAGGACCTGATTGTTCATGGCTAAGTTTAAAGCAGTATCACCAAAATGTAAAAAGCCTTGTTGTACCCCCCCCCCCCCAGGAGCTATGTAGCACTTGGTCCTATTCCAATCCATGATGTGATTGCTGTTCAAGCTTGCCCCCATCTCTCCCCCACCACTGTCCGACCATGCTGCTTCTAAGAAGACAAACACATAACTAGGTCTGATTGACAATGTTTGTCTCTAGAAGCAGGCTGGAGTTGAGAGTCGTGATTCAGCACAGCAGGCAGAAGGTCAGCTCTATTCACAATGCTTTCTGAGCTTCAGACTTTGGGGGGGCCGGACTGTGGTCAGTGGGAGGTGAAATGTCCTGGTATCAGTGGGAGTAAACAATGTCTCATCACTGGTATTAACGGGAGCTATAGTGCCCCATCACTGGTATCAATAGGAGGAATAGTTTCCCATTGTTGGTGTCAGTGGGAGGAATAGTGCCCCATCATTGGTGTCAGTGAGAGTAGTAGTGCCCTATCATTGATGTCAGTGGGAGAAATAATACCCCATTATTGGTGACAGTGGAAGGAATAGTGCCCCTTCATTGGTGTAAGTGGGAGGAATAGTGCCCCATCAGTGGTGTCAGTTAGAGGAATAGTGCCCCATCATTGGTGTCAGTTAGAGGAATAGTGCCCCATCATTGGTGTCAGTGGGAGGAATAGTGCCCCATCATTGGTGTCAGTGGGAGGAATAGTGCCCCATCATTCGTGTTATTGGGAAGAATAGTGCCCTATCATTGGTGTCAGTGGAAGGAATAATGCCCCATTATCGTTGTCAGTGGAAGGATTAGTGCCCCATCATTGGTGTCAGTGGGAGGAATAATGCCAGCACAAACAGAAATAAAAATTGGCTTTATAATGCACAATAAGGTTTTTTTGTTCTGTTGTGGTGATACTTCTTAATTTAAAGTAAATTCAACTGTAGCAGGTAACACGGTGGCATTTTACGGTGTATGCGGCCATCATGTTCCCATATCTACTGTCTTCACATTAATGTGCTTCTAATCAGGTTGTATATATTTAGCTTCAGTTATCGGCTGTTTGGGTATTAATCTAGTCTAGAATGTTCTGCAACAGTTTAGGCATAATTTAGGACACAGTACCATTTGAGTAAAATATGCATAATGGCACCTGTTTTCAACTGTAAATTTTAACTGAACTAACCAGTGAATTTAGGATAATTTATGGTAGAGAACATTTGATTTTAAACCTTAAAAATGTTTTGTACCTTAATGCATTGCTTACATTAAGGTAAAGAACATTTTCGATTTGTCTTTGCTCCACCTTCCCTGTGTGAAGGGGAAGAGATCAGCTCTGTGCATGTCATCTCTATTCCCCTCTCTTCCTCTTCATACAGGAACTTGAACAGCAGCAGAAGCCATTTGCTCACGTTGCTGTCAATCAAATGTAGTGAAGAGGAAGTAGGGGAGCAGGGCTGTGTATGTCTATGGAGCACAGCTCCATAGACACACAGGTTGGGAGCTTGCACGCAAAGTGTGTCCCCATAGCAAACACTTTGCTATGGGGGACACACAAAGCAGAGGCGGCGCCAAGATCACCGGCAGGGGACCTGAGAAGAGGAGGATCAGGGCCAGTCTGTGCACAACCACTGCACAGAGCAGGTGAGTATAACATATTTGTTATTTTAATTGAAAAAAAAAATTCAGACTTTAGTAACACATTAACAACTGATGCATGAATAGGTTGGAAGGTAAAAGTATTTTTGTATTGCTTAGCATGGAATTGTGTAGCTGGTTGGTTTCTGCATGAATTTGTTGTACATGGTTGTTGAGCATGGAAACCCTTTACCTTACTAATTCTCTTGCAGTATATGCAATGCATAAAATGTACATTTTTGTAATTTGGTATCTCTGTTGTACATTAGCTTAAGCTGAACTCCAGACACCCCTTTTCCCATACATTTTTAGAAAAGTTCAGCTCATTTACCTAAAATCTGGTTTTCTTCTCTCTATCTCTTCTTGGACAATGGTGGTGGGCAGTTTTTACAGATGTACAGGACAATACTTAGCACCATGTGAGCGCTGTTCTGTGCATCAGCACTGAGAGCTCATGATGGCATGAATCCGCATCTGCAGGTAATATGTCATTAACAGAAAAACGTGTAGTGTCTACGGACCACTCCAGCCTGAGGAGTGCAGCAAGGCTTAGTGAACACCTCAAATCTGAAGCTGTGTTGATGGACCCATGATATTTGGAATAAAATGTGCCCTTTTGCAATTTGAGTACCACACTTCAGCGCAGAAGACTGCGTACTGTTGATATGTCATTAACAGCTTGGGCTCACAGGAAAGTCACTTGGATGATACTAGGTGTCATTTAATTAAGAAGAAGAGCAGCAAAAAAGCAGTGAGCCTGGGATGGGGACCAATGGCCCTTGTGGGGGTCCATTGAGTATTGCAGCTAAAGCTCCTTTTATTGAACTATTACTAAAGGCAAACCTTATTTTTAAGTTTTAGATGGAGTTGAAAAGGTTTAGAATACTTGTCAGGTTTTCATTGTTGTTTGTGCCCCTGGTAGGGTGATTCACCCTCTTTATTTTTCCTGTTTACTGTTATCACCAAAAGTGAAGGAAAAAGAAAGAACAGTAATAGAGGCTAAATCTTTCAAGTGGAACACTATTTTTGGTGACCCTGGTGACAACCAGGAATTTCCTTACTTTGATGTAATTTCCTCTCGCCTCCTGTTTTTGCTATGAGACAGGAAGTAAAGAGAAATCTCCCTAGTGAAACACAGATGGCAAAAAAACCCCAACAGGGGTCATAACCCTCCCTTTCAAATTCTTGGCAACACAAAAACAAATTAAATCTGGATTTCTGCTTAAAAGCATAACCCCACCTTTTATTATGGATTTCATGTGACAATCTATATAAATGAACTTACTATTTTTATATTTGTAGATTTTATTCCATCTTCATTTTCATTTGGGGTCTTTTATTATTATTAGTATTATACAGGATTTAAATAGCGCCAATACAGCAATAATACAGTTCAATACAAGAGGGTTTGGAGGGCCCTGCTCCTTGGAGCTTACAATCTTTTTCTTTTAGTTAAAAACATTTTTTTCCTATGGTCTTTAAACCATGTGGCTACACATCCCTTGCCCCTCTTTCCATCATCTGGTATAGCATGGTAGAAACTGACAGCTATTACATCCATGCATTGTGGTTTTAATATCCGTTTTTAAGTTTTCTATCAAAACAGAGACGTAATTACCAGAGATCATTCATTGTAACAAACTACATACCATTATATCACATACAATGAATTAGTTCATATAATTTTAAGTTGGTGAAATTGCAATGCCTTGCAGAAGTACTGCATAACAAATCGTATGAAGAAAGCCAGCACCCCATATTTAAAAGCCTTTTCTTAAAGGCTAGAAGCAGAGATCCTTCAGTAAGTGAAATGTAAAATCTCGGAAAAGTCAAACCAGTGTTCTAAGTAAGGGTTTCAACGTAAGGCAAGAGGAACTTTACGGATGACCAGCTCTTACAACATATTTTTTACCTTCAATGTTACCACAAGAGGGTTTTAAGTACTCAACGTTGGAGAGTTTACTAGCCAGTTTTGTCCTTTATGTTATGAGTTAAATTTAATGACTGACAAAAGAGGATACACTTTGGTCTAACAAGGTTTGGATCTGTTAAAGGATATATTACAAAAACATATGGGTCATAATTGTGTTGTCCAGCTGCACATAAACTACTCAATTAGTCAGGTGCTTCTTCCTTAAAGCATATGTGGAGTCATTGTTTTTTCAAGTTTTGGATAGAGTTGGGAATGATTAAAATAGGTGTCATATTTTTATTGTCTCTGGGAATCTGTTAGAGAGATTTGCCCTCACTTGCTGTCCTGCTAACAAACATTTCACATGACAGGAGCCGAGAGAATATCTGAAACATGGACACAGGCAGAAATATAAATCTGAAATATCAACCTTCCCATATTTTACAAAAGAGAAGTGATTTTATTTATGTCTGTTGCCGTTGTAGAGTTACCTTCACTTCCTGTCTGGTAAAACCTTAACAGCACAGGATGTAAATTCAGTAAGTAAAAATCTAATGGGGCTCACTGCACTTCATCCAAAACTAAGGAAAAAATTTGTGGCTGGACATGCACCTTTTTATTCTCTCTTTGAATTCATTATTATTATTATTATTATTATACAGTATTTATAAAGCGCCAATAGTTCGCTCAGCGCTGTACATTACAAGGGGGGACAGAACATGTGACAGAACAATACCAATACAATGCAAAACATGAGGGGATTGAGGGCCCTGCTCTTTCGAGCTTACAATCTAGGAGAATTCATGAGTTAATATTTACTTAGAAGAAAGTCCACAAAAACCCTGAAATCTCAAATTAATGAAACAGTTTAATTTTTGCAATGTGTTTGTGAATATTAGACAGTGTTGATTTATTTAGGGAAATGTAACATTTAGTTAATCTTCCTTTGTTTTTTCCAGATGTTTAAAACATGTTTTTAACTTTCCATGTTAATACTGGCTGCTGACTTTCTGTTTTTCTTCTTTAACAGGAAGGCCGTGCACCCAGCTGCAGCTCCTGAATCCTGAACGTTTTATTCGTCTTACTAAGGAGGTTATGAATATGACATGGCCAACAAGAGACCTGGTGGTCAAATGGTCCCCGGGCATAGACAAAAAGCATCCTCCCATCTCGTGGCTTAAAATGGTCTGGAAACTCTTATACATTCATTCTTCAGAAGATCTGACATGTCTTGATGATATGCCACTTATTCCTACAAGGATTCTAGAAGAGGAGGAAACCACACTGGAAGTCATTCGCCTGAGATCACCATCTCCTGTAATATATGATGATGTGGCAGACACTCAACTGCCTGAACATTTGCCAGAAATAATTAAAAACCTTGGTGGCATTGTTCTCCAGCATTTAGATTCTGCCATCCAACATCCACTTCTTAAAAAATATGTCTATCCTCCAACGCCCAGTGCTCTCCTCCAAATAATGGACAGGATGTCTCTTCAAAAACTCTCCAGTCAGATTGCTTCACTGACCCCAACTCACAAAGACACTCTGAGGAGATTCCTTGCTAGCCTGACAGACATTAACGAAAAAGAGAAAAAGATCATTCAGGAACTAATGGTCTTTAAAAAGATAGAACAGACTTCAGACCAAAAAAATTCTTATGTTTTCTTAAGAGGTTGTAAAGTTCTTCATCACAATGCCAGACTTCCTCCAAACACTCGCCTCTCCTTTCCTGTAATTGATAGTAGTGATGAGGAAACCATCCGTTTGACCAAGATGCTCAAAGTTGAGCAACTAAAGAGTACAGACTGTGTAAAAAATTATCTTGCAAGATGTAGAGAGAGGTTTTTACCCAAGTGAAGAAAGGACATGTGTTGTGCTTTGGGTTCTTGAAAATTTTACCTTTTTAAAGAATGAAAATCCAGCTATAATTAACTGGTTATCTAATCTTAAATTTTTGCCCCTTAATAAAGACAGACTTGTATCGGCTAATGATCTTTTTGATCCAGAGGTAGCTATTCTTCAAAGCCTTTTCTGTGCTGAAGAACACCTGTATTTTCCGCCTGCTACTTTTACATCTTCTGATGTTTTGCATTCCCTTCGACAAATAGGGCTCAAAAATGATTCTCATATTTTAGAAAAAGACATTGTGCAGATTGCAAAGAAAATAGAAGCTTTACATAGTGGATCTGGAAAAAATGATGACATTGTATTAAAAAAGGCAAAGACTCTACTTACAGTTTTGAAAAAAGCATATAAACTCATACAGTCACCCGAAGCAAAAGCTGTATTAAATAAGATCAAATGGATTCCTGCTATTAAAGAACGTCCACCAAACTATCCCAATTCTTTGGTTTGGATGGGAGACCAGTTTAAACTGTATGCTCCAGGAGAAATGTGCAACTTGTGCTACGCTGTCCTTGTAGGATCTTCTGTTCCGCTTGTAGAGAACATGAACGACAACGTTGAAAAAGTCCTGGGCATTACCAAAGAGCCTAGAATTGAAGCTGTATTGAAACACCTAAAGGTTGTGGTTGATTGGAATAATTCCAAAACAATCACTGATGAAGACTATTATCAGTTTCAACACATTTTATTGGAAATCTATGGCTTTATGCAAGAGTCCCTTGAGAAAGGTAAAGAGCTGTATAAAGCACTTTCATTTCCATGGGTTTGGACAGGCAAAACATTTTGTTCTCCAAAACAAGCAGTAATAACATCAGTACACAATCTTGACCTTCAGCCCTTTTTGCACAGCATACCAAACACAATGGTGAAATTTCACAAGTTATTCAAATTCTGTGGTTCAATTGAGGAGCTGACTCCTGACCATATCTTTCAAGTTGTAAATATAATTTACGAGAGAAGCAAGAAAACCATGGACAAAGAAGAGAACAGGGAGAACCTTAACATTATGCTGAATATTGTGAGATGGATGTATAGCCATCAGATTGTGGTGAGTCCAGAAACCCCATTGCCTGTGCATTACAACAAAGATCCTTCCAAGCTTGTAATGAGGCCTATACATGAGTGTTGTTACTGTGATATCAAAGTTGACGACTTAAATGATCTCCTTGAAGATTCAGTTGAACCAATAATATTGGTACATGAAGATATACCAATGAAGACAGCAGAATGGCTGAATGTACCTTGTTTAAGCACAAGGCTTATTAATCCAGAAAACATGGGATTTGAACAATCAGGGCAAAGAGAACCTCTTACAGTGAGAATAAAAAACATTTTAGAAGAATACCCTTCAGTTTCAGATATCTTTAAAGAGCTCCTTCAAAATGCAGACGATGCCTCAGCCACTGAATGCAACTTTTTGATTGATATGAGAAGAAACATGGACATAAGAGAAAATCTTTTGGATCCTGGAATGGCAGCATGTCACGGGCCTGCGTTGTGGTCTTACAACAATTCTGAATTCACAGATAAAGATTTTATGAACATAACCCGACTTGGGGAGTCCTTAAAAAGGAGTGAGGTAGACAAGGTTGGAAAGTTTGGTCTGGGATTCAACTCTGTGTATCATGTTACAGACATTCCCATTATTATGAGTAGAGAATTTATGATTATGTTTGACCCAAATATCAACCATATCAGTAAACACATCAGAGACAAATCTAATCCAGGAATCAAAATTAACTGGAGCAAGCAACAGAAACGACTTCGCAAATTTCCCAATCAATTCAAACCTTTCTTGAGTGTTTTTAAGTGTAATCTACCACTTGCTGTAGAAACACCATACTGTTACAAAGGTACACTTTTTAGGTTGTCCTTTAGAACACAGCAAGAAGCAAAAGTAAGTGAAATTAGCAGTGCTTGCTACAACACTGCAGATATTTATACGCTTGTAGATGAATTTAGCCTGTGTGGTTATAGGCTGATTCTATTCACTCAGCATGTAAACTCTATGGTTCTCAAATACTTAAAGCCCGAAGAGTCTGATCCAGGTTTAGCACAAGATACAGTGACTATTAGAAAAAATGAATGTTCCTCAAAGGTTTTAGTTCACCCAACAAGACTTCTAAAAGAAGCTGCCAGGGTGATGCGCAACTGCAGTACAACTAAAAAATTTCCAACAGATATGCCAAAATCATCCTCCATCTTGCAGATTGTCGTTCAGGAGTTTCACCATGTATTTAGACGAATAGTTGACCTGCATTCCCCCTTATTCCGAGGCCCAGAAGATGAACCAGCAAACATATTTGAGATGGCCAAATCTGGACAGAGCAAAAGAATGACCGAAGAGCTTCCACAAAAAACAGTAGACTCAACAACATGGCTTATATGTTCTTGCATGGACATTGGAGAAGCTTTAAAAATTTGCTTTAAGTGATAGTGGCAAAAGACTTGGGCTTGTGCCATGTGGTGGAGTTGCAGTAATGCTTTCTGAAAGTCAGCATGGTAAATGGACAGTGAAACCTCTCTCCACTAATGTTGGAGAAGTGTTCTGTTACTTGCCTCTACGGATTAAAACAGGTCTTCCATTGCATATAAATGGCTGCTTTGCTGTGACCTCAAACCGTAAAGAAATCTGGAAAACCGATACCAAAGGAAGATGGAATATGGTATTCATGAGACATGTCATTGTTCGATCTTACTTAGAAGCTCTTTGTGTCCTAAGAGACATGTCCATCAGTGAAGAACTACTCAATTACAACTACTATTCAGTGTGGCCTGATCCTGACTATGTGCATGATGACTTTTCTGTAATCTGTCAAGGAATTTATGAAGACATTGCCAAAGGGAAGGGTAAGGATAGGATGAAAGTGTTTTCTGATGGAACGTCCTGGGTCTCCATGAAACATGTACGATTTCTTGATGACTCTTTACTGAAGCGGCCAGATATTGGACCTGCTGCTTTTCAAATTTTCCTAAAATACTTGAAAAAGACGGGCTCAAAAAATCTGTGTGCTGTAGAACTGCCATCATGGGTTAAAATGGGTTTTGAAGAAGCAGGCTGTACAGATGTATTGCTTGAGAATACATTTTCTGAAAGTCAATTTTTTTCTGAAGTTTTTTTTCCACATATCGCAGAGATTCAACCTGAATTACGTGATCCATTGATGCTTTTTGTTTTGAATGAGAGGATACAAGCTTTTGGTGAAATCCTGCAAGTAACACCATGCATTCCCTGTTCCACTGAAGGTCATCCTTTGGTTGTACCTTCAAGATTAATTCATCCAGAAGGTAGGGTTGCAAAATTGTATGATGATAGGGATGGAAGATTTCCTTTTGGAACTTTCCAAAATTATCTAAACCCTGTGGTGTTGGTGAAACTAGTTCAGCTAGGAATGGTTAAAGATGACATTTTGTGGGAGGATTTAATTGAACGCATTAAGTCCATATTAGTGGTCAATAAAAGTGACCATGCTGCAGCTTGCATGAGAAGCAATATTATTTTAAGTTTGATTGATGAAAAACTTAAGTTCAGAGACCCAAAAGCAAAGGAATTTTGCAAGACATGCCAAACTACTCAGTTTTTGCCATTTTCAACAAAACCTGCTGGCTTTTCCTTGCGCTGGAAAGGAAGTGAATATAATCCAGAGTATTTGTTTGCAGCTACTGATCTGTATACCACAGAACACCAGGATATTGTTTGTCTTTTGAAACCAATACTGAACGAAAACTCTCCGTCTTTTAAGGGCTGTGGACCCATATCATTAGCAGTCAAGGAGTACTTAGGTTTGCTCAAAAAACCATCCCCTGAATTAGTGATAGAACAACTGAAGGAAGTTGCAAAGCATACAGATGGAAACACTCTGTACCAGGACAATATCACAAATGCTTGCTATAAATTTCTAAATGAAGCAGTATTGCTGAATGAAGCCACAAGAGGCATGGTGGTCACAGAATTGATGACAAACCCTTTCATTTTTATAGATGGCACTTACGTTGGTCCAGAAAAAGTTGCCTTTCAACTGAATTTTGAAGCAGCGCCTTACCTGTATCAAATGCCCACCAAATACAAAAATAATTTTCGTGAATTATTTGAAAGTGTTGGAGTTAAACTTTTATTTACAGTGGAAGATTTTGCATCAGTTCTTCAGGCCATCAAAAATACTAATAACAGTAGAAAAATATCAGAAAATGACTTCCAACTTTGCAGGCGTATTGTTAGTGAAGGAATTTGGGGACTTATTCGAGAAAAGAGTCAAGAATTTTGTGAAAAGAACTATGGCCAAATACTTCTGCCTGATGCTAACCTCAATCTACTTCCTGCAAAATCTTTATGCTATAATGACTGCCCGTGGATTCGAGTGAAAGACACGGCTGTAAAATATTGCCATTCTGATATTCCAAGGGAGGTGGCTGTCAAACTAGGGTCCATTCCAAAACGACACAAAGCTCTAGAAAGATATGCTACAAATATTTGTTTTACTGCACTTGGAACAGAATTTGGACAGAAGGAAAAACTTACCAGCAGAATTAAAAGCATCCTAAATGCTTATCCATCAGAAAAGGAAATGCTGAAGGAACTTCTACAAAATGCAGATGATGCAAAAGCCACAGAAATTTGTTTTGTCTTTGATTCAAGAAATCATCCATCAGACAGAATATTTGATGAGAAATGGACTCCATTACAAGGTCCTGCCCTATGTGTATTCAACAACCAACCTTTCACGGATGATGATATTCGAGGTATCCAGAACTTGGGAAGAGGGACAAAGGAAGGCAATCCTGGCAAAACTGGACAGTATGGGATAGGGTTTAATTCAGTTTACCACATCACTGATTGTCCCTCATTCATATCTTCAAATGACATCATTTGTATTTTTGATCCTCATGCAGTATATGCCCCAGGGGCGACTTCATTAAGTCCGGGCGCATGTTCCGAGACTTAGATGCTGACTTTAGAACACAGTTTTCAGATGTGCTAAATCTATACTTGGGCAACCACTTCAACCTTTCCAATGCTACAATGTTTCGGTT